TAGCTTTGTAGTAAAACATCAGGTCAGAGATTGTGCCTTGCCTTTGTTGCCCAGGATTGCTTTTGCTACTCTAGGTCTCTTCTGGTTCCAGGTGAATTTTAGTAATGTTTTCTCTAGATCTCTGGGGTATACTAGTAGTATTTTGATAGGTATATACTCCCTATACCAGTTTTGGGAGTATGGCCATTTTCACAATGTTGTTTCTTCCTATCCCTGAGCAAAGAATATCTTTACATTTCCTGAAATCCTCTTCGATATCTTTTTCAGAGTAATACAAATTTCACTGTATAGATCTTTTACTTCCTTTGTTAGATTGATTTCTAAGTGTTTCATTTTTTGTTTGCTATTCTGAAGGATGTGGTTTCCATAACTTCTCACTCAGTGAATTTGTTGCTTGTGTTCAAGAATGCTATTGATTTTTGAGTACTGACTTTATATCTGGCTCTGCTATTGAATTTGGTTATTAAATCTAGAAGTCTTTTGGTGGGGTTTTTGGGGTCTTCTTCACAGAGTAGCATATCATTTGTAAATAATGATATTTTCACTTCTTCCTTTACTATCTTTATTCCTTTTATTCCTCTCCTTTATCTAATTGTTCTGGTTAATGTTTCCAGAACTAGGAGTGGTGGTAGTGGACGTCCCTGTCTTGTTCTTGATTTTAAAGTGAAAGCTTTTGGCTTTTCTCCATTTAAAAGGTGAAAGATGTATATAATCTGAAGAGAAACCAGAGTACATTTTTCTCCATTTAGTGTGATGTTAGATGTTGGTCTATCATAGATGGCTTTCATCATGTTGAGGTAAAGACTACCTATTTTGATTTCCTGTAATGTTTTTATCATGAATGAGTGTTGGACTTTATCAAAAGCTTTTTCTGAATCTACTGAGATGATCATGTGATTTTTGTCTTAGGCTTTGTTAATATAGTGTATCACACTGACTGATTTGCATATATTGAACCATCCCTGCATTCCTGGAAGGAATCCCACTTGGTCATGATGTATAATCTTAATGATTAGCTGCAACCTGTTTGCAAGTATTTTATTGAGGATTTTTTTATGGGTCATAGAAAATGTTATTTCAGAAATGATTCAATGTTCAAATATTTTTATTTATATAATTATTAAAACATCATATTCAGTGTAGTTATCAGTATAATTCATAGAAAATTATCATCTGATATTCATTAGTATTTTCATCTTCTTCCTCATACAGCTTCTCTAACATCTATCTCTTCTCTCCCTCACTCCCTTCGTCCATCTATCTATCTATCAATCATCTATTCCTTTCATTTCCTATTTCACTATACCAGGATTAACGTCTTTACCTTTAGATTGCAAATCCATATATAAATTTACTGTACAGCACTGAAGTAGTATAAATTTGAATGTGGAGCTGCTGCCTCATTATAATTGTCAGCCTCATTTACTTACTCATAACTGACAGCCAGCACTGATGTTAAACTTTTACATGCACATGTACGTCCTTTGTAATTACAAAAAGTGGCACAGTGAATATTTATGTGTATACAAGATTTATGTTTTTCATACACTTGAATATTTTTAATACAGAAACCTAGAAAAAAATCATCACGTACTTTTTTTTTCTAATAGATGCTCAAAGTCAGTTTACCTTTTCAGGAATTATCTTTGAAAATTTCTATTAACCACACTTTTGCTAATAATAATTTTATAGTTTTATCATCTCCTCAAATTTGATATGTGAGCAATGTTAGCTTACATTAACATACCTGTCTCTATTAATGAGATCTAGCATCTAGTGTTATATTTGTGCATAAAAATATATATTTACATATAACTTGATACTGTATATTGCCATTATTTCATGCTTATGCTTGGTTTTGTTTATTCTGTACTTTCACAATTTAATCATAACCATTATATTGCCTGTTAAAATTCTACTCAGCCTTTTAAAAATCAGTTCAAGTAGACACTTTAAATACACATCATTGTATTTTATTCTATAGGTTAACATGTTTATTGATAATTTAATTCTGACTTGTATGTTTATGACATAGGGCATCGTGGATTTCTAGTTTTTGTGTGTGCACTTGTGGTATGAAGCTCTACTAGAGAGATACTGATTATAGATGCTATATGTATGTAAGATTCATTGATTCTTTGGTATATGTTATGAAGCTCACATCATAATACTCTTTGGACTGTGAAGACTGATATAATTCACAAGTCAAATGTTCACGTTGTAACTACAATATGTTAACTAACTTATTCATTTACTTTCTGTTCTTTAGATTTTTTTTTTATCCACTCTGGCTATAAAAGTGTATATTGGTCTCTATGCCAATAGAAGCCACAGTCTGAAGGAGAAAAGCACTAGTAAACAAGCCGTGAAATGCAGTTGATATATGAGATATTAGAGTTCCTTACAGAATGAAAACATCTTCCTGGGAAAGGGTAGAGAATCTTATGGAAAGTCTTAAAGAAGAACATGCAGGAGCTGAGTGGAGGAAATTAATGGGTAAATAGACGTCTGTTAGTTGAGTGGTCAGATAGTAGAGTGAAAAGGGAAGGCTAGTTCTAGACCTCTGATTCTCAAAGTATGGGTCCCTGAATTCCCATACTTGTAAGATCTTATAAAGGGAACTATTAAATCAGAAATATAATTACATAAATGATATCACATTATTAATGTTATCAATAAATGATATTGCATTATTCATATTACATAAACAATATTGCAAATGTTGATATTTACAATGTTGTACAAAAGCTGTAGTTCCTAAAACTGCTAACTGCTGGCCCCGGAGTATTAGTCAATACAGTAACATAAGATTCTGATTAATGGTCATTATATTTTTCATTGTCATCTAACAGCAAGAAAAAAGACCCGGTTTCACTGAAAAATGACCTTCAAGAAAGTGTAAGCATTAGTATTTTATTAACTCTTAGCCCTTAAGTACACATGTCTTCAAAATTCTGAGTGACAAAATAAAATATGCATATATACATAAGGCTCTTAAATTGTGTTCCACTGAAAATAGTGAATTAGAGTGCACATTTGAGACAATGCTTGCTTCAAAGAGCACCAGTTTTTACTTAAAGAATGAATAAGAGATAAATTGCAGCTGTGCAAGCAAGGTGTGTGTGGCAGATATTTTCTAAAGAATCTAGAATAACATATTTCAAGGAAAATCACATTATAGTATGTGTTATAAATAATCAAATCTAAGTTTCCAGGTAAA